AAAAATATTTCACAAACTGAAAACATGTGTAGAGTTCATAGTTCAGTGTTTTGTTTAAATGAGTACAGACACCATAAATTAGTGCTTTTCAAAAGAAGTTCGCAGTTCAGTGTTTTGTTTAAATGCGTATAGACACCATAAATTAGCGCTTTTCAAACTGTTGGTCATGACCTATTAACCAACTGTGAAATCACTTTAGTAGGTTAAGGACAATGTTTTTGGAAATATCATCATGTATCAAATGTAGTTATCACTCACACACAAATGCATGCAATAACATATATACACAATTACCATGTAAGATACATTTTTTATTGGGAGTCAGAATAAACAATCTGAAAGCTACTTCCATAGTTATATAAGTTCCAAGGTTTATATTAACAAGTAGTAGTAGTCATGGAACGCCTCTTCAATGAAGGACTTAACATTTGAAGCACAATATTCTCTCCCCACCATCAGTTCTCAGCTCAACTAACATTCTCCCCCTTAGTTACCGTGCTCTAGCCACAAAAGTCTTAGCAATTCATTGAACAAGGCAAATGTGTTCGCACTTTAGGGTCTAGCATATATTGGTTCTGCTGCCCAAAAAACTCCGCTTAGATAACTTTGCTCCTGCAGTCTAGGACACCCAGAGAGCAGCTCTCCCAGACAACGTAAGATAGCCACCACATCCCGCCAGTCTATCCCCTTGTCTACTTTTATTCCTTTTCATTTTACTCATTACCACCACATTAATGGCACATGTTTGTGTCCCTCTCCACAAAGGTCAGCTCTAAGAAAACAGGGACTTTGTCTTCTGTTTTGTTCATCACTATAACACCAGAGATTAGAACAGTGTCCGCCACAGGGCAAACATCCCTGAATAGGCTTTGACAGGCAAGTTAAAGGAAGAATGAATGGAGTTGTGCTTAAGCAACATATATCACAGAGGAAACACCAGCTTAATAATGCTCAAGAGTAAGGATCAAGGCTGAAGAAGAATATAATATAAAAAGGTTTAAAAGTCAGAGAGTAGAATTTGGACTTTATCTTGTAAACTGGGAATCATTCAAAGATTTGACCAAATGGTGACCCTTTCAAACATTTATTCAGCACAGGTTCAACTCGCTTTGACAGAATAGACAGTGCAAAGGTCAACAGCACATGTTCTCTCCTCAGGCTTGTATGTTTAGCAACAGGTTCAAAAATTTTTCAAAAACAAATTATTCTGGCAGTCATACGCAAAACAGATTCAAGGAAGGAGAATCTAAAGTTTAAAGAGAGCAAATAATAGGCAATACAGAATTCCAGGACAAACTCAGGGCCAATAAAGGGAAAACAACTGTGCTGATTGATACACGTAAGAAATAAAGTAAAAGCGCCAGGCGCGGTGGCTCAAGCCTGTAATCCCAGCACTTTGGGAGGCCGAGGCGGGTGGATCACGAGGTCAAGAGGTCGAGACCATCCTGGTCAACATGGTGAAACCCCGTCTCTACTAAAAATATAAAAAATTAGCTGGGCATGGTGGCGCGTGCCTGTAATCCCAGCTGCTGGGGAGGCTGAGGCAGGA